CTGCCTTGATGACTGAGGCATCTTTTAACAATAGGCCTATCCCCAGTGAAAAGCGAGGTGGTTTGCAGGGGCCATCCGGTATACCTAACAGTATTTATAGTTCCTGAGGTAATTGTAAGGATTAAATTGTCAACGCTGCAAACCATACCACATAGTATAAGATTGAAAGAATTTATGGGAGAGAAGGGGGAAAACTAAAAATTGATAAGTTGGGGAGGGCGTGACATTCTGTGTATGAGATAGTGTGATTACACGAATCCCATCACTTCCCTGCACTTTTGGAGATTTCTGTTGTTTTGCCACTGGAGGATGGTATTTGCCAGTTCTGCCTCCTCTTGTGCCCTTGGTTCTCTGTACCACCTGCCACACTGTTTGATATATTCAAGGTTTGGTGTATAAGTTACAATGCTTAGGTTTAAATTGGGACCACCTGTGCACTATAGTGATGGTGTTCACTCAACATATAAGTTAGAATTAAAACTTTTCTCTTTAGGGTAATACTATGAGCTCTGTCAGTCTCCTTTGCTGTTATGGGCCACTTAAAGGTCAAAACTTTACAACTCCATAAAAAAAAAGTAACCTTCCAATATTGTTGGATTGTAGCTCCCACTGTTCTCACAATAGAAATGCTTGCTGGAATTGATCACAATTGAGTTCCACAATTTTTCCTGGATTCCTAATGACTTACCTTGTCCATCACCAACTCTTCTATAACCATATGTGTTTTAAAACCTTGTTCATTACACTGATAATCCCAATGCCTTTGAACTGCAACAACTCAAAGCATTTCTTTACCATAGCCACACAGGTTGGATGTTCCTAATAAAACAATGTTTGGAAGGTCTATGGCAGTGGTGGGTTGCAGGCGGTACGCCCCGGTATGGGCATATCAGAGCCTACCCGGAGCACTGGGTACCGTTTCGGTACGGTGCTCTCCGGAGGGCCCACCCACCTGCCCATGTTCCTTACCTGTCTTTAAACTCTTCGATGCTTATGCGCACAGCACGTACAGCACCTGCGTGATGCTCTGTCGAGCAGCTGGAGCTTCATGGAGGTGTCGCTGGACGGTAAGATGCATACGCGCACTGCGCGCGTTCATGTGGAGGATGCCAGGCCCCATTGCAACCATACCGATTGCAATGGGATCCAAAACCCACCATTGTTCTATGGTATCTATTGCATTTTAAAGAATATATTTAAAGCATAACATGCTGTAGAGTTGTCAAAGAGTTGCCGATAGCAGCAGAGTTAGGATATTTGCTTAATGTTGCCAGGCTAATTACTCAACTAAATATTGTAATGAGACAAGCTGATGAATAAAGAAATTGACAGGAGGGAATCACTCATGTTTGTTTTAGGATCTGCTACTTCAATCACAGGGTGCAGCAGAAATCACAAGCTCAGAAAACACACCAAACTAAATGGATGGTCAAATAACAGACTAAGGACCTACTGGATTGATAATCACCAGGACAAAGCAAAGCAGAAAAATTGTTCCCAGCAATCTGGTTTGGTTTAAATACTCCACGCAGCCGATTTGTTCTCCTGCTAAGACTTAACAGCTATCTGAGACGTCATGGCAACACTGCATTGTGCAATCTCCTGACCTTGTATTTGGAGTGCATTTTTCCCAAAGGGTGCCCTAATTCCAAAATCAGGATCTGGGTAACGATTCAAACTGCAGGGTACCTAGGGTGGAAGTTTCTGGCAAGGCAAAACTTGGTCTCTTAGGGTTGGGACTGCTGTAGCTCAAAACCTTTAGGGAGTCTTGCCTCCCACTTTTTTTCCATGTTTGAAAATTTGTCTTCTTCCAGTGGCATGGTAATTCTTGACAAAGTCCATGCACAATGTTCATGGCCATTTGGAACAAAGTCTAAGTTCTGTTCAACAGATAAAGTTTAATATCAACTCTTAAAAAAAGATGAGGAAAGCCTGCAGCAATTTCTGTAGAGGCTCTGTTAAAAGCTGCTGAATAATTTCTGCATTGCAAACACAGCTTGGAAGAAGTATAAATTAGAGGGCCTCATAAAACAAGGGTTGATATGGTACTGCAATTCAAATTGGGGAGGGCTTAATTCATAAAGAATCCCATTGTTAAGAGGATGCATCCATTCACTTGGCAACAATGATCTAGATTTCATTATGACTCAATAGTATCACGTAAAGCAAATTGACCTCATACTCCAAGGTCTGAATAGCTTCAATTAATTATGTTTCCCCAAGCAACTTCTTTTACGCAATGGCACATTTAGAGGGGGAAAAAATCTAGTCAGCTCTCGTCATTCTACCACTAGATCATTATGAAAGTAAGTTCAGCTTACTTTTCTAAAAACACTTTTAAGTTGTTAGTGAGACTCATGATGTTAGGAAATACTTTGTTTGACAAAGAAACATTCTGCTTTAGTTAAGGTTGCAAGAATTGGATATGTCTAGTTTAATGAAAAGTTGTCCAAGGGGCAACATGATAGCAGCATTCCAATATCTAAGAGGCTGCCACAAGGAAGATGGTGTTGACTGTTCTCCAAAACCCCTGAAGACAGGACAAGAAACAATGGAAGGAAGCAAGGAGAGAAGCAACCTAGAACTAATAAATGTCCTGACAGAATAATTAATCAGTGGAACCACTTGCCTCCAGAAGTTGTGGGTTCTCTAGCATAGGTGGTTTTAAAAGAAGAAATTGGACAACCGTTTTTCCGAAATGGTATAGTTCTCTGAAATGCTTGAGCAGGAGGGTTGGACTAGAAGACCTCCCAGGTCCCTTCCAACTCTGTTATTCACCCTAGCCAGTTTCAATCTATCATACTTACCTTTATTAGGAAACTTCTAATAGACTGCCACTCCTAATTTGTAACAAATGGTACTGAAAGAATACGTTTATGAAGGCTGTGGTTTGCTGGTTACTTACACCATTTTCTGTCTCCTAAAAAATACCAAGCTAATAAGCCAAGCAGCTCTGATGATATGTCAAACACCAACTATAGGTTGCTATCAAGTTTGCTGATTACTTTGTTTACTTAAGTTTTGCATTACTTTGCTTCAGAATAATTCTACAGGCTAGCCGAAAAGGTACTTAAAAGGGGAAATGAACAAAAGTATAAATGTAAGATTTATTTTGTTCAACTGGAAAACTATTATATTTTTCTTCTAAACAGAAACCATGGAAAACCAGAGCAAAATGGAAGGCTGTGGGGTTCAATATAAGTTGGAGGTTGGAGATGAAACTGCTATCAATCCCTTGATTATTATATATGGCCTTTGAGGTGATATATTAGGTGAGGGAGCCAGGTGCCTGTTTTTCACATCAATTAAAAATTACATTAAATAGAGTTGATATGCCTAAGTGCCACGTATTTAAAAATCTTTTAGATCACAGCAAGTCACAATTTCCTGGAAATCGTTTACTGCATTTTAGAGAATTCCTAAAAATCTTTTAAGGAGGGCTTCAGCCCTGAGCTCCGTTTTCACTGGCAGCAGGCTGTTGCAGCCGAAAACGGAGCTCAGTGGCCCATTTTCGCTGGCACAGCGCTCGGGCCTACAGGCACCCCCGACACAAGCAACATCAAGCTGGCCACGTCCATCCCAGTCCTCCGAGGTCAAACTGATGTGGCCCTCAATGAAATCGAGTTTGACACCCTTGTTCTAGTGAGTCAGACATATCATAGCCTTATCCTTTGCTGATCCTGTTTGAAAGAGCAGCAGAGATTCTTATGGCGATGCAAGTGAAGTGGTACTTTTTTATGTTTAAATTTAAACATTTCGGAGCACAATTTTCAAATCAATGTACGTTTAAACTGTGTAAACAAAAGACCCACTCATCAGGCTCCTTTGAGAATCTAAAGTGATTTGGGGTTTTGCTCCTGGGGATGGGCAATTTTTTTTTGTGATTATAAAAGCATCATCCATCTATGAAATTGAGAGCAACTCTGTGAACTATGGTGTTAGTTTTCTGTTGCAGTCTTTCATAAATCTCGGGCCTGATTGTCAGATGATGTGGCACACTGATATGTGTCTAAGTAACCGCAGAAGAACATTGTGGAGAATGTCATCACTTTATGGTGACATTTCCATCACACTGATTCTTTTAAACTCTCCCAAGTTGAGCAAAGAAATATAAGAATTCAAAGGGCTTGAAATAAGAAATCTTTTTTTAAATTGACATCAGAGCAGCTGAAGAAAATAAAAGTCAAATGTTTCAGTTTAAAACTTTTTTATTTTTGCTTCATTAGTCAATCTGTTCAGTTGTTTCAATTTCCCCCTTTTTCCTATAAACAGCCACAGCCATGCAAACGCTCAGAATTAGGGAGGTTGTTTTGAATGTAGAGGGGGAACTCTATATTCTTTGCCTGCCTGCCTGCCTGCCTCTTATCTATCGTCTGCCTGCCGATATCCATCCATCCATCCATCCATCCATCCATCCATCCATCCATCCATCCATCCATCCATCCATCTAGTCTGTCTATCATCCATCTATAATCTATCAGCTTTCTATCATGTCTAATCCACAGTATATTCATCCATCTATCTAGGCTATCTATCATCCATCTATATCTAATCTATCAGCTTTCTATCATCTATCTAATCTACAGTATATCCATCCATCCATCCATTGTCTAAACATGTACCTAAACATAAACATTTATAGTTTCTCCCCCCCCCCCTCTAACTCCATTGTTTGATTCTTAAACAGTGCATCTTGAGAGGACCTCTTTTCAAGAGCTGCAATGTTTTTGGATTATGGTAATTTGAGGGGGGGGGAAGGAGAATCTGCTTTGGATGCAAATCTTCCCATTACAAATTTAGAATCTGATACCGGACCACTCTAGGAAGAAGAAAGTATACGTTTAACAGAAATCTGTTTTTCCTACCATCAATGTCTACATACTCTGTCTTGCTGGATCTTTTGTTACAAAATGGGCAGAAAGCTGGCTGGCTAATATTCATTTATAATTCTGCATATGCTGCCTCCCCTAAGGAACTGTAGGTAAAATATGGCAGCTATATCTGGATTTTCTTATTTCTGCAATGACCCAGATTGCTGTACATGGATGATGTGTAGTCGATAGACCAGGCAACCATAGAAAATTGATCAACCCCTTCAGTTCAATGTTACTTATTGAAATAATTGTAGACACCAGAAATGTTATATAAAAGGATTCTCTAGTGTACTTATATTGGATATGCACTCAAGCTTACAGTTCTGTGTTCACGCATATTGGGGGCTAGAAAGGGAGCAAGAGAGGTATCAAAGGATTACAATGAATTTTTTTTAGTACTCAGGTTTTTTTTTAATGCTTCCATTCAACTAAAAAAAGACAACATTTTCCAGTTTATGTAGAAATTATGTTTATTGCATTGTTTGTATTTGAGGGTCTTGACAGCTAGCTGCCTTTGAGGGTGGCAATTTATAGCAACGATAAAATTTCAGTAAAGAAAAATAAATTAGAACATTAAATGATTCAACTATTGTAAACTGAAGTCACAAATGTGGCTTTCCATTATGCAGCCGAGTTACAGGTTTTTTTTTCTTTTCTTTTTTCCAAAATGTATTTGTGTTTTGCTAATTGGGTTTTTACATGAATGATGTTCAAACTACAAAGTTTCCGTAGAAAAATCTATGTCTTCCTTATGTTCAAAGCTAAAGGAGGTTGCTTTGCAAAATGCTCAATCCTAGAAGGGTAATTGTAGTGTTTTCCAATAAAATAAAATAAAATAAAATTAGAAGAGAAAATTGTTGGAAGGTAAAGTCGTTCAAGAAAAGCAAGTCGTTTTTGTTTTTGGGTCATTCTCATCTTTTTTTTTTTTTGAAGGCATGTCCGCAATAAAATAGTTTTTAATTGAAAACAGTAAACAGGAACCTCCATGCAACAGAACCATTATCATTTCCAAGCATGCAAGGTGCTTTTTAAAAAATTAAAAAATAGAAGGTGCCTCGAGAATGCTGGCAGTTTTATATTTGCAACATACCGTTTTTGTTTGTTTGTTTATATATGTATATATCTATATATTTATATATTTACATTTGTTACTGATCAACTTTCCTTACAAGCTTCAAAGATAGGAAAATATACAGTACTTTTGCATATAATGGTATATCCTTGTAGCCCCTGAGTCAAGTATTGAGATTTTGATAGAAAAAATAATAGTAAAGGAAGAAAGAAAAAAGAAAAAAAAACCCAGACGTTAAAAGCACTTACATTTTTAGGTGATGTAATAATGCAAAAGGGTCATTTCCCAGGAAGACCAGGATCAGAGACATGCCTATGGAGACCCAACATTCCTGTCGTGCTTAGGGGAGATTCGGGCAAGGATGGGTGCCTATTTGGGTGGAGGTAGGTCTTACGGAGTGATGGGACTGGCTCTACAGAGCAGTCGTGCTCCTGTTCCAAAAGGGAAGCCAGGTTATCTTCCGAGGCCAGGTGAAGATGCTCTCCACTTGAGAGGGATTCTTTGGATTTCTCTTTCAATTTGTCAAGATCCAAGAATTTGGGACCCTGAGAAGACACAACAACAAAAACATGGCTCCGTGGTGTTTATTGGCATTAAAAAGCAGCGCAGAACATTTGTGGGTTGTTTTTTTTTTAATGAGTTTACACTACTGGAGAATTTGTTTAAAAATCAGCAGTGCTGAAATCAGAAGCCGGGCTTAATAAAGGTGCTTCATCTATAAGACCCATGGTGGCCCAGTGGTTAGAAGGCAATAGAGTAGAATAGAATAGAATTACAGAGTTATAAGGGACCTTGGAGGTCTTCTAGTCCAACCCCCTGCTTAGGCAGGCAACCCTACACCACTTCAGACAAATGGTTATCCAACATCATCTTAAAAACTTCCAGTGTTAGAGCATTCACAGCTTCTGGAGGCAATTTGTTCCATTGATTAATTGTTCTAACTGTCAAGTGTGGCCTTACCAAGGCATTATAATGTGGCATTAACACTTCACGTGATCTTGATTCTACCCCTCTGTTTATGCAGCNAGTTACATAATTAAATACATTTCTGCATATGTGAGATCTGAGCTACCTCACATTGATTTTAAAATAAATATGTAGGAAATCTCTTTTCCAATTCAGATTGCTTCCAGCTTCATAAATAATAGATTCCCAGGTTGTTGTTGTTGTTGTTATTGTTGTTGTTACAATTCCTCTTTTAAAGGAAGGACTTATATATGTCATCAATTGAAGTCCAAGTAGGAACCCCAAATAATTTTTGTACTGTATTTATATATGCCCAGCAGGTGGCAACAGTAAGCTATCCTTTGATGCTTTCAAGAATGGTTAGTACTTAAATGCATGACTGTAACAAAATCCTAGGACTGTAAGTGAAATTCCAGAATTGAAAAATACATCCTAAGGGAAGACAGTGGCAAACTGCTTCCATAATATTGCTTAAGAAAATTAGAGGTATTGCTATTGGCACCAAAGTCAAGCTTAATTTGAAAATTGCTTAGATACCAATGTTAAAAGGTGTAGATTGATAAGGTATTGTTTTCTAAAAGAGCAAAGTAAGAAGAAAATGGGGTGTGGTTTTTTGGGCTAAATAATTTTTATGACTTATCTGTTTAAAACATGAGCAAAATTGGAGCACAAGTGTGCAGAACAGTAACAGAATGCATACAAGTAAAACATTTATCTTTTTTGTTCTTTTAATCACCTGTCCACAAGCTGGTATGCTTCTTAACACATAACGCTAGAGACAGAATACTGGAAAAATGGGCTATAATGAATTTAAAGAACTTTGGACAGCTCTCAGTGCTTGGAAACACAATTTCATGTTGGTTGATCAAGACCGAAGTGGAACTGTGGAATTTCATGTGCTGACTCAAGTTATTGTAGCTATGGGTAAGTAAAACTGATTTAGAAATCTAACTTACACAGGTAAGCCAGAGTTTTCTGCATTCAAATCTAGTGCTAGTTATCTAATTTAGGTTAGAAATTTATGGATTGTATTCCTTTTGCTACATCTGGGAAAGTTAGACTTTTGTAATTGCACAATAGAGCAATATAGTACTCTTCTTAAGGGGTAGTCTTAACAAATTACCTTAACTTGCTCCATTTTATTCACTGTATCTTTGTTGAACTTCTATCTCAGATTGGTTATGACTACTGTAAATGATTTATGAATATCCAAATATTGGCAAAATTCTCCTAAGCTTTCTCTCCTGAAAGTGTGTTTTTCTTTCTAACTACTTATCTAGGATACAGACTAAGTCCACAGACTTTAATTGCTATTGTAAAACGTTACAGCAAGAATGGCAGAATTTCTTTTGATGACTATGTGGCTTGCTGTGTGAAGCTTCGTGCTTTAACAGGTAAGTGCTGGATTTGTATAATATATTCTGATTTTACAAAGCAAGCATTCACTGCTTGGATATAGACCAGTTTGCATAAGTAGAACATATTTGCCTAGAAGAAGCTTTGAAAATTTCTTCTATTTTTTTCTTCTTGCAACAAATTTCTTTAGCCATTATGTGTAATTCCAAAGGCTTTTTTCTTACTGAAAGTGGGAGTACTCTCAAACAGTTGTCAACTTAAAAATCAAGCCTCATTTCAAAGTCCCAATGCTTTGATTTGTACTATTGACAAGATGGCAAACATTATTCTTTAAATTACTTTAGCCTTACAGTACAGTGAACATGGCAAAATATTTTACATAGAGTGGCCTTATTTGGAGTCTGGTGTAATTCCATTGTATTGCTGGCGATTTTATAGAATGTGCTATTGTCTGATGACTGTAAAAATAAATGGATAATGGACATTATGTATTATGGTTGTGCTTTACTATTTTAAAATATACCACATAGATATTTTGTCTGTATATCTAGACAAGTTCAGGATTTTTATAATATAAATCTGCAAATCTTTTTTTTAAAGATTTCTTCAGAAGAAGAGACAGCATGCAACAGGGCATTGTGAATCTTCTGTATGATGATGTAAGTAACAATACTGTTAATTGGTAATAAAAAAATGTTTTTAACTAGAATTGTGTTTCTTACATTTCCTTTTATAATCCCACTCCCATTATACTCGAGAATATTTTAGGAAATTACATCTCAAGATAGTGCTGTACCTCCTCTTGAGATCTCAAACAGATGGCAGTTCCTTTAATTCTTCACTGGGTTCTTGATTTTTCATGTTCATTATTTATTTGCTTATGCAGGATTTCATTTGATACCTTCCACAGCTTACAGATTGTTTTGGTCTGTTCCTCCCCATTTGTACCACAGAACATGGTGTGACTCCCATCTCATTTTTCCATTGGTTTTCAGTCCTTGTTTTTTTCCCCCTTTTATCATAGTTGTTTATTTTTTCCCTTTATTTATTAATCTCCTTAACTTGCAGTTGTTAGCTTGGTTTCAGAAAACCTAACCTGAACCTAAGGGCCCCATTTGATGAATACCAGTCTTGTGGGTGCAAACCTAGCTCTTGACTAGGCATAAATGCAGTTTGTTTGCTTTGCCATCATTCTTCTAGTTGGCAGGCCACTCTCCTAGAAGAATTGGGAGGCAGCTTTTTAGAGGTGGCAAACTAGCTGCCTCATTTCTCCCATTCCTCCTAATGTGTTCCAGAAATTGTCTGATGACTGTCCTGTCTTTGAGAAATCAATCAAATTCTCCATGTTGACAGAAGACTCATACATATCTGCTATCCCATTAATGGCCTTTTCCCCTCATTTATTCAGACAATGCAGTAGTGGTTTGCAAAGAATTTGCTGTTACCCAGGAGTTCTTTGCACCTCTTGGAAAATTATATGCCTTGCTCCAGCTGATTTTATTTGTTTTGGACAATTGATTCTGGGAAGAGTAGCAACGTTAATTGGATTTTCTCCATTTATATACCATCTGCCTATCCATGGACTGATGGACCCTAAAACCCTTAGCAACAGATTTGCAGCCTTGTCTTGCAGAGATCTGTTAAATCAGGGCATGATTCACTTTCACTAATGTCATGAAGAACAGACTCCAGAGATGGAAATCAGTGTGTCTGTTCTTAGAGGAAGCATCAGCCTCATACCCTTAAGTGAACTAGTTAGCCTAGGCTTTAGATAGTTTCAGCTAACAATTACTGTCTTTATTAAGCACATGTACAATATGGATATTGTACTATATCAAGTGATGGCAAACCTTTTCGGGACCAAGTGCCCAAACTGGAAAGCGCGTGCATGTGCGCCGCCAGAGCATCTCTTTTGTTCTTTTTGATAAAATCAACAGACTTTGAACCTATAAGTACTTCCATGTCGTGGAAACCGCTCTGTTTTCTCTGTCTGACTTCGGCTTTTGTAGAAAGATAAAGTGCACTGAAACAGAAAATGTTACGTGCGACTGTCAAGATCAAAGTTTTTTTCCCCTCTTGGTAGTGATCTGTCAGCTTCCCAGTTGTAGGCACTTTAAGAGAAAGGGAGAAACAGCTTAAAACTCCGTAGAATCAACTGCGATCTGGCAAATAGATTTCAAAAGAAAGAAGTAGAAAAGAAACCACAGAAAGGTGATGGGATGGGGAGTGGTTTCTCCAGGTCGGCAGGCGAATCCACAGTAAAGAAGAACCAGGAAGGAGCCTGAGGCAGCTGAAAACAAAAAAGAACCTGCAGAAAAGAGCCAGCAGAAAGAAAATACAACCCTGGACTCTAGACAGTGGCAATTTACTTTGAAACATATAATCAAAATAGTCATGAGTAAAACTTGCATTTATACAAAATTATTTTTTCTCTGAAACATTTAGCACAAGCTTCAGAATTTCTTTCAATTCTTAATTATTTGATAGATACATTTTGGATCATATGCAAATAATAGGAATGAGGGGATTAGGATGGTAAGGACCCNTCAGAAGGATGGAAGACTGAGTCAACCTTGAGCCAGTGAGAATCGAACTGTTGGCAGTCAGCAGAATTAGCCTGCAATACTGCAAAACAATTAAGGAATTCACATAATTTGAACCCACGACCTAGCAGTATTTAGAACACGGGTGTCAAACTCGCTGCATCACGTTGCTGTCATGACGTTTTTCCCCTTCACGGAGCTGGGGTGGGGGTGGCCTGCATGTGATGTCGCCAGTTTGACACCCATGATAGAGGAAGAAAAAAGAGAAAGTTCATTTTTTTATGGGGGACATAAAGACGTGTGAAACAAAAGCTCATAGCAAAGTCAGCCCTGCAAATTAGCTACCATAAAGATTTCATGTAGCGTTTGAAAGGTTAAGAAAGACTCACGGAACAGTATTTTTAAAATTACAGCCACCCAAAGTAGCTCTTGTGATATCGGCATTGCATGACTTAGCTCATTAAGCTCAGTAAGAAGAAATGATAGGGACGGGTTTTCTAAAAATAAGCTGGGGAAAAATTGGAATTGATGCTTCAACTTCTCGCCGGGAGCTTTTTAGCAACAGAAAAACTAAATTGGCATCAGAAATAATGATAGTGATTGGGAAGAAACTCTAACCATACATTTTTTGGCAGAGTGGAAAAATGGAAGCTTTATGGATTTCCGAAAAAGAAATTCTCCTAAATACATTTCCCCTAAGGTTGGTTTTCAAGGAAACATGCTAAACTGTGCAGCTTTCTGTTAAGTTCCAGCGTTTGATCTGATTACAGTTGATATGTGAAAAATTGCTTCCTTTAAGTAACCACTGGGATGTAGCAGTGGGAGAAGAACAGAGATGAGCTCTTTATTTAGGCTTATCATGCTTGCTTTTCTCATATCCCTCTAGCCTCACCTCTACAGGACCTGTGGGATAACAAGACAAAACCATTTCTGGAGAATTCCCTGACATGACATGAAGAACACGCTTTGAATTTTCATTCTGAGTTTAGGAAGTTGCCTCTGTAACTGAGCCTTGCAATTTATCACATCAGCCATCAACTTGGATCGCAGCTGCTCTCTGGCATGAGATTCCTGTGAGACATTGCCTGCGTAAGACAGTTTCACTGGGAAAATCAGAAATCTTCAACAAATTGTACCTGGGCCCCCAGAGCAATGGTTTCCTCTCCCAAATGTTTTCTAACTGGTGAATGGGATTCCAAAATGCAGATTATGAAGTTCTACCTACTATTTATTCTGATCTATTTCAAGGATGTAAATTCTTTTTATCTATATAGGTGGTCTTCAATGAACAACTGCCATTGGGATTGGCAATTCCATTGCTAAATGACATGGCCATTAAATAAAAACCACATGATCATGTGAGCGTGCCCAACTTATAGAAATAGCAATAGAATTTAGACTTATATACTGCTTCACAGTGCTTCAGAGCCCTCTCTAAGCGGTTTACAGAGTCAGCCTGTTGCCCTCAACAATCTGGGTCATTTTACTGACCTTGGAAGGATGAAGGCTGAGTCAACCTTGAGCGCGTGAGAATCGAACTACCAAACTGCAGTCAGCTGGAGGTAGCCTGCAGTACTGCATTCTAGCCATTGTGCCACTACGGCTCTGATGTCAGAGCTTATGATGTCAGCTCTGCTGTGGTCGCTAAGTGAATTATCCATGGTCGTAAATCATGTCACGTGATTCCAACGTGTGACTTCCTGCTGACTTTTCCTTTAATTTTGCTGCCATCCAGGGGGACCCTCTCCATCACCATGCCCGCTCAGCCATGCTTACATGCCACTAACGCTGCCACATAGATGTTGCCTCTATGATGTCGATTGAGCCTGTAGCTGCATGTNGATTTCTTCCCCTTTACAGCTTTTGGAATGCAGATGCCACTTTTATAGTTGAAGGAAGAACTTCTTCTCCCAGGTCACATGCAGGCGAGCAAAGCAGAGAGACAGGAAGGAGGCCTCCCTGAGTTCAGCTTTCAAAGGCCAATGAAGGAATTAAAACAATTCAATGAATTCAAACAACTGCAGGGATGAAAAGGCTACTTGAAGTCTGCTTATCAAAGTAGCCTTTATTTGGCTCTATTTCTTTTACAACCAAGGCATGACTCTTGCCTTCAAGTCAGTGGTGAAATTCAATTTTTTTTTACGACTGGTTCTGTGGGCATGGCTTGGTGGGCGTGGCAGGGGAAGGATACTGAAAAATCTACATTCCGACCCCACTGTGGGGCCAGCCAGATATGGTATTTGCCGGTTCTCCAAACTACTCAAAATTTCCGCTACAGGCTCTCCAGAACCTGTCAGAACTTCCTGAATTTCACCCTTGCTTCAAGTCCAGCTAGTCCACCTCCTGGATAAATTTGCCAATCCAGGAAACAGGCTCCTGTCAAGCTCAGGGAAATCAAGATATTCAGGCAGTTCAAATGTGTATAAAGATGTATTGTGAGCTTAAGCGTTGTACAAGAATCTGAACTATTCACAGTCAACGGAAATTAGCAGGAGTTAGGAATAGAAAGAATTCAAGATGGGCTGGTCATAGCTCTTTCATGGGCACAAAGGGACTCCGGACTGATGACATGTTTTATCCCTCCCTTGAGCTCAGCCTGATCATCTTATACAGCTGGGGTGTCAAACTCAAATTTCATTGAGGGCTGCATCAGGGTGTGTTTGACCTCAGGGGGGCTGGGAGGGTGTGGCCAGGGTGGACATAGTTGGCTCGATGTCACTCATCGAAGGTCTGTTTTCTCTGCGACGGCCTCCTGAAGCCCTCTGCCAGTGAGAACGGAGCCTGCGTGTGGCTTCCTTGAGGTCTGTTTTCACTGGCAGAGGGCTCCAGGAAGTCATCGCAGCTGAAAACAGAGCATGGGCGGGTTGCGCGGGGCCTCCCTGAGCTCCATTTTCACTAGCAGAAGATTGCAGGAGGCTATTGTGGCCTAGTGGCCCTCCCAAGCTCTATTTTTGCTGGTAGAGGCACTGTGGGCTGGTCCTTCACTGTTTCCAGGGTGGGCACACAGGCCAGATCTAAGCACTCCACAGGCCAGATCTGTCTGGGGGCCTTGAGTTTGACACCTCTGTCCTACAGCATCTGGTCCAATCCACTTGTGCTGCTTTTCCCATACGGATTTCTATGAAGAACATTTTGTTTCCCACGAGAGGATAAATCTTTAAATGATGTAAACCTATCCCTTTGGAAATGCCTTACCTGTGAAGGACTGAAGCTTCGATCTGTTTTAATTGATGCGATGGGATGAAGACGTCGCAATAGCCGGACAGCTGGTTTCTGGTAATCTGCATTTGCCATCACCATGCTATAAGCAGGTGGGATGAGGGCTGACTGTCTCTGCAACAGCTGTAAGATGGTTTGAATGTCAGCTGTCATTTGGGATTCAAGCCTGGAAAATAGCAGGAAATAACCAGTCTATCAGAATATATATACACTCCATTTTCCCTCAAGCTCTCAGAGCAGAGTGCTATAGATGGTATGCATTAGGTCATGCCCCTTTGAACAGGGTTTCACATGACTTTCCCCTTCTTAGTGGCAGGAGAGAGTTTCTCAATTTTTACACAGCTTATATAATGTGTATTGGTTACATTTTCATTGCCCACTAGAGGCACCATGGGACTGTTTTTATCCTATTGGGACTGATAGCAATAGCGCTTAGACTTATATACCGCTTCACAGTGCTTTACAATCCTCTCTAAGCGGTTTACAGAGTCAGCATCTTGCCCCCAACAATCTGGGTCCTCCTTTTACCGACTTCAGAAGGATGGAAGACTGAGTCAACCTTGAGCCAGTGAGAATCGAACTGTTGGCAGTCAGCAGAATTAGCCTG